CACCCGGACGACCTCATCAGGCCAGGCCTCTTCCAATGCAGATACGATAGCCTAGGCCTAAAGATTGCCATGCTCAGCTTCCATGGGAAGTATGCCAGGGTCACGAAGATCACGGGAGAATACATGGGGATGTTAGAGATCCACCTCATGCGCCGCATACAGCCGCCAGATGGCGAGTTCTTCCGCAACTTCAAGGAGCTCTCCCGCGTGGTCCAGGAGATTGACAAGAAGGTGATCCAGGAGCAGCAGCAGCAGCAGCAGCAGCAGCAGCAGCAGCAGCAGCAGCAGCAGCAGCAGCAGCAGCAGCAGCAGCAGCAGCAGCAGCAGCAGCAGCAGCAGCAGCAGCAGCAGCAGCAGCAGCAGCAGCAGCAGCAGCAGCAGCAGCAGCAGCAGCAGCAGCAGCAGCAGCAGCAGCAGCAGCAGCAGCAGCAGCAGCAGCAGCAGCAGCAGCAGCAGCAGCAGCAGCAGCAGCAGCAGCAGCAGCAGCAGCAGCAGCAGCAGCAGCAGCAGCAGCAGCAGCAGCAGCAGCAGCAGCAGCAGCAGCAGCAGCAGCAGCAGCAGCAGCAGCAGCAGCAGCAGCAGCAGCAGCAGCAGCAGCAGCAGCAGCAGCAGCAGCAGCAGCAGCAGCAGCAGCAGCAGCAGCAGCAGCAGCAGCAGCAGCAGCAGCAGCAGCAGCAGCAGCAGCAGCAGCAGCAGCAGCAGCAGCAGCAGCAGCAGCAGCAGCAGCAGCAGCAGCAGCAGCAGCAGCAGCAGCAGCAGCAGCAGCAGCAGCAGCAGCAGCAGCAGCAGCAGCAGCAGCAGCAGCAGCAGCAGCAGCAAGAAGAGGGGACTGAGGAAAGCGAGGGCCATGGCTGGCAGAGCCCTGCCCAGCCCAGCGTCGGGAAGTCCGGGGCTGCAGCTTCAGAGGAGCAGCCTGTTCCGTTTGTTCTGCCTGTGGTCGTGCTCCCAAGAGACGAGAACTACCCGGGAACCTGCAGGATGTGTTTCTATGCCGTGCACAATGTTACCTCATTTGCCTTACCCAACCCCTCATATGGCTCACCCGACCCCAGGCGCTGCCCTGGAGTCTTCATCTTGTTCGATGAGAACCACTTCGGGTTCATCTCCCGGGAGGAGAGATACTTCATCCTGTTCGGCAGAGTCCAGAACACCTTCCAGAATGTGGAGGCACCATCCCCACAGGCCTTCCTGGAGATGCTCTGGAACATTCAGTCCGGACGCCCTGGGAGGAGCAGCTTGCATGCACTTTGAAGATTTGACCTTCTGACCAGGTTACCCACCTTTGTTTGTTTTTTTAATCCTCACCCAAGGATATTTTCCCATTGATGTTTAGAGAGAGAGG